GGTGGGGACTCTGAGTAGCTCCTTCCCCTGGACCTATTCCTCCCTTGACTTTCTTGCGAAGGAAAAGCACTACTTCCTTCCTCTCTGCCCAGATCTCAGCCTGCCAGGTCAGAACTGGAAAAGAATTGCCCCATGACTTTCTTCAATGATCCCCCCCTTTCCTCTCAGGATAGCTGCTTTCACAGGCCCAACAGCGGCTCATGAATGGTTTTTCATTCAGTTGAATTGACACAGCTGGGGCAGAAAAAGTGTTCTTCATACTCGTCTGTTCGTGGGGGAAGCAAGCCCACCCCACTTCGGCTTAACTCAAGACAGCGTTAGGCGAGAAGAAGAATCGGCGCTCTGCTAATTCTTTCCTCATTTTAATCATCTCAGAATGTGAACTAGGGTCAAGGAGAGGAACCAGGTAATAAATAGGGCGAGGCCGGCATGCCGGCTACTAAGGTGAGCAGTAACTTTACTGGAACTTTTTTCTTTCTGGGGAAATCTCTTCAAAAGGCTCCTAGATTAAAGCTCCAATCTCCCTTTTTGTGTGTTGAATTCTGAATTCAGAAGCTTGCTGGTTGGAAGGAAGCACAGACAATTTTTTTTTAAGTCCCAGGAACTCAGAGACTCAAAGGTTTGAAAGTCCTGCACCCACGGTGAATTGCCGGCTGAAAGGGGCCGGAGCAGAGCCGGGCCCCGAGGTGTGGAGACCATTGTCATCAAGAGTAAGAGAATGAAATGGCTCTGTATGTAGGTCAATGACCCCCTCTCTACTGAAAGGTAAAAAAAAATTAAGGATGACCTACAATCTACCATGTAGAAAGTAGCTCTTTCTTGTCAAGGTGATAATGTTTATACCACGTGAAGCCAGGCCTCCCCGGACTCTGACTTTGGGGGACTCTCGAAGCTGAAAAGCGCTGGTCAAAACCTCAAGCCCTTTCTGACATCTATTAACTTTTTATTCTTCAAAGCAGTTGGCGGTATCGTTGGAGGCGTGGCCATGGAATCGGGAAGCATTTTCATTCTAATCAGTGAGATGGAAGGATTCTGCCTGAACTTCTGGTGTGTTCGTCACTTACCTTAATCTTTTCCCCAATAACCAGGATTTAAATGAGCCAAGGCTGTCAAAGTAAATGGATAGATTCACAGAGAGGGACCACAGACACAGAAGAGAAAATGAGAAGAAAAAGAAGAAAGAGGGGGAGGAGGAGGAAGACAAAAGAAAAGCCATTTCCCAGAGCCCCGTTTCAATACAAAGACACTTCAAAAGTCCTTATTAAACAGTGTCCCAGACCTGTGTGATTTTTGGAAATCCAACCGAAGCTAGGAAATTAGCCTCTTGCATAGTATATGAGCCCAGTAGCTGTCATGGTCTATGTAAACCTCAGCCCTTACGATGCCCAAATGTACTGACCTGCATTAGGGACATTGTCAGGATTCACGCTACGTATGCTTCGAATCTGTGTTGCATTTTCATTTCTTAATAAAAAGCCATATTTTCCCAATACGATCTAAGTGGGAGGTTGGCGCTCCAGGCGTGAAGCCAACTTGATTTTTAAAACTCTCTTTATTTTTAAATTATTTTAGATATACAGAAGAGTTGCAAAGCTAATACGAACAGTTCCCAAATACTATTCACCCAGCTTCCCCTAAAGTGAACCTCTTATAATATGGTACATTTGTCAAAATTAAGAACTTAACATTGGTTCAGTTCCAGGAACTGAACTGACGTCAAGATTCCCTACAGCGCCAGTAGTCAATACCACGTGGTACTGTGTCACAACAGACAAATACGTCGGTGAAACAGAACAGAACGAGGGAGGAATGGCGCTGCCATGGAGCCCTGGTGAGCTGGCATGTATCCACACGGGCCATGCAAACAGAGGCTTGAACCACTGCTGATCTGTGTCCTGGCAGAAAACCCATGATCCTCCTGGGTGGGAGGCAAGGAGCTGCTCAGGGGCCGAAGGCCACTCGCCTCCCTGTGTCTCCTGGGAGGCGTTCCGGAGACAGTTTCTCATCGCCTCCTGGGTTCTCATGAGGTTTGAGACTTCTTGCCTTGCCCCGCTCAGAATACAGCTGCAGACTATAAAACTGCTCAGCTGAAGTCTAGATTTGGCTGCTTAGCAACGGGGTCACTACGACTCATATTGTCACCAACTGGTCCCTTTTGTTTAGGTGTGGTCCTTTGTGGTGTGTGGGGCAGGGACCGTGAGGAATTGGCACCTTTGCCTATTCTCCTCTTCACTGTTTATGGAGGAGATAAATGGTCTGCATCAAACTCGGGACTTTATCTGTTGAACCGGTCAGACCTTGCCCTGTCTTGTGTGTACTTGACAAGAGTCCAGAAATAAACCCACACATACGTAGTCAGTTGATTTCCAACAAAGGTGCAAAGTCAATTTAGTGGAGAAAGGAAAGGCTTTTTGACAAATGGTGCAGGAACCATTGGATATCCACATGCAAAAAAGCAAAAAACAAACCAAACTTCAATCCAGCAATCTATACCTCACACCATATTCAGAAATTAACTCAAATTGGCTCATAGACTTAAACGTAAAATATAAAATTATTAAATTTACTGAGGAAAATGTAGAAGGACATCTTTGTGGCCATGCATTAGGCAAAGGTTTTTCTAGATAAGATAGCCCTGCACAAATCCTAAAACAAAAAAATTGATAAGCTGGATCCCACCAACATTAAAACTTCTGTTCTTTAAAAGACACTTTTAAGAGAAGAAAATAGAATCCAGAGATGGACAGGCTATATTTATAAATTGCATGCCTGACAGGGGACTTGCATCCAGGGAATTTAAAGAAATCTCAACATTTAAGAATAAACAGCCCATTTTTTAAAATGGGTACAAGAGCCCTGGCCAGTGTTCTCAGTGGTTAGAACACCAGCCCGAGCATGGAAGGGTCATGGGTTTGACTCCTGGTCAAGGGCACATACCTGGGTTGCAGGTTTGATCCCAACCCCAGTGAGGGCACCTGCAGGAGGCAATCAATTGATACGTCTCTCTCACATCAGTGCTTCTCTCTCTCTTTCTCTCCCACCCCTTTCCCTCCCTTTCACTCTCTCTAAAAATCAATGGAAAAAATATCCTTGGGTAAGAGTACAAATAAATAAATAAATAAATAAAACGGGCACAATATTTGAAAAGGCACGTGGTCACCACAGAGGGCGTCTGGGTGGCAAATAAGCACATGCGAAGATGCTCAGCGTCCGTTGTCATTAGGGGAGTGCCAGGCACAACCGCACACGGATGGAGGGCCTACATTAAAGAGCGACCCTACCAAGGACTGCGAGGGTGTGAAGCAACTAGCCCGCATACACTGCTGGTGGGCCGCACAATGGCACGGCCACTGTGGAAACCAGTTCGGCAGGTTTATAAAAGGTTATCTTTCAATCACATCATATGACCCCGGCGTTCTAAGCCTAGGTACTTGCCCAGGAAAAAGGAAAGCATATACCCGTACAAAGCCTGGCACGCAGATGGTCATAGCAGCTTTATTCATAACAGCCTGAAGCTGGAAACAATTCAGTGCCTTTCAACACACGAATGGAGAAACACACCATGGAATACCACTCAGCAACGACGGCGAGTGAGTTATGGACACACACAGCAATATGATGCATCTCAAAGTGACTGTGATGAGTGAACGAAGCCAGACCAAAAAGAGTACATTCCACTTATATAGAATTCCAGCAGATTCAGACTGAACTACGGTGACAAAAAGCAGATCAGTGGGATAATGGAGGAGGGGGGTGGGGACATAATAATGGGGCCAGGGAACCTTTTGACCGGGATGGGTGTGGTCAGTCTGGATAATAGGGATGGTTTCATGAACACACAGACGTCTGTCTAAATTTATCAGATTGCACACTTCAAACACAGGCAGCTTATTGTATGCAGTTACACCTCCGTAAAGCGGGTCCTAAAAAGTGCATTGGAAGAACGCTGCTTCCTTCCGCCACTCTCCAGGCCCCTGGTGGCCTGTTGCCTTGCTGAGCTCCCTCCCCTCCCCCTGAACTCAGGTGACATGAGCAGGTGGGGCCCCGCCTTGGTGACCCAGAGCCCAGTAGTAGGGCCTGCTGCACTTCATATGGTGATTTTACTTGATCCTCACCACAGAGACAGAGGCCAAGAAATGACAACCCCCAGGGCAGGGGCTGGAACATTGTGACTAAAAGAAATGTCAAGATGACGCACTGCAAGCCGAGAAACCGAACATGAATCCTGTGCAATGACATGGTGGCTCACAGCTTCTCCCGGGCCTACCGGACCCCGTGGGCACAGACTCTGCAAGGACAAACACGGGCTTGGACGCGGCAGCTGTAGAACCTCCCGAACCCCAACACCTGGGCGGGCGGTGGGCTGGGACCGCTGCTCCCCGAAAAATGCCAGGCCCAGCTCGGCTTCCTAGAGGAACTGCGGAGCCCCGCCCGAGGAGCTAGCCATTTATGTCACACTGTGACAATTATTCTGCATAAAATTATCATTAAAAACTCTAATTTTTCAGCTCCCAACCCCGCCAGTGGCCTTTTAGCATTCTTCAGCACTGCGTCTGAGGGCCGTGATCACCCCGCTCATTACTCGGTGTGGCGCCTCCCCCCTCGCGCTCGCAATCAAGGCTAATTACACCCGCGCGCGGGGGCAGGGCCGAGCGGGGTCCAGGGGCCGGGAGTGGGGGCGGGGTCGGAGTCCCGAGTCCGGGGGTCCGGGTCCGGGTGTGGCCTGGGGTGGAGCGGGCGGTGTGGCCTCTGTGGGTTCTGATGGTCAGAGAGGGGCCGCGCAGGCCAAGGCTGGGTTCGGGGCTTGGGTGAGGTCAGGGCGCGGGAGGTGTCAGGGGTCCCAGTCCAGGCCCAGGCGGCACCAAGGTCCGGGGACGGGGCGGTGCCTCTGGGTCCTGGGGGCGTGGCGTGGATGGG